GAAAAAATGTTATCACAAGGAGCAAAAATACATTATTTTCAAAATCCCTTCTATTGTGGTATGGGAATTCGGGGTGCCAAAATCAAAGAGTTCAAGATGACCAACTACTAGAATTGAGTAAATTTTGTAACTTCGCCATAAATTATCGGCTCCGTAAAGCTAACATGGTTGAGCCTTTCAAATAAACGAACTAGATTAAAAAAAAACTTCCCTTAACTTCTGTAAAGACTCAATTTTATAAGCATGAACACACCCCCTCTCGAAAGTATTTGAAAGTAGTGATTACAAGGGGTAGGTCACTCCGCACACCAATCTTGGGTAAAATGTTTGTCAGTGTGCCGCAGGATTGCCGATTGTGCCGGTCATAGAACAAGCTGCGGTTTTTTGTAAAATACGAATATTGTGGTATATTTGGCAACCCGGTATTTCTGACAGCTTGAATGTTTTGGTTTGCAATCGCAAAGGCCCCGAAAATTTCAATTATCGTGCTTGATAAGGATTACTTTTACCGACGGAAAAAAACGCCTCTACGCCAACTGGAAGAAACCAGAGTTTTCGCATGATGATTCACTGCAGAAGGTGGATCGCATTCTGACGGCGGTCGGCGTAGACAAGGAAACCATCTGCAGCAAATCCACCTCGCTGCAGACCTGGCTGCTGGGATACGAGCTGACCGATACGATTACGGTGCTGTGCGAAAAGTCCATCTTTTTTCCTGACCAGCAAGAAGAAGGTCGACTTCTTGAAGCAGATCGAGGAGAGCATCCCGTCTGTGAACCTGTTGGTTCGGGATAAGAACGACAAAGACAAGTCAAATTTTGAAAAGCTACTGGAGGCGATCAAAGGATCCAAGGATGGCAAAACGTTAGGCGTCTTCTCCAAGGACAACTTCCCGGGTGAATTCTGTGAATCGTGGCGAGCCTTCGTCAAGGATAAGAGCTTCGACACGGTGGATATCAGCGTCCCAATCGGGTACATCATGTGCTCCAAGGAGGACTCCGAGGTTATCTCCATCAAGAAGGCCTGTCTTGTGACGGTAGACGTGTTCGACAAGTACATCAAGGATCACATCATGAAGATCGATGCTGATAAGAAAGTAAAACATGCCAAGCTGTCGTGTTATCCAGTCGGATGGCAATTTCAGCTTGAAGTTCAGTGCATTGAACGACAAGAACTATCTGCACTTCGGATCGATCATCTGTGCTCTGGGTGCGCGTTGAAAGTCTTACTGCTCCAATGTCGTCCGATCGTTGCTGGTCAATCCGACGGCAACAATTCAGAAGCACTACACCTTTCTGCTCAATCTGGAAGAGGAACTGCTCAAGGTGATGATTCCGGGTAAGACGCTATGGGAGGTTGTCGACGTTGGAATAGATTATGCCAAGAAGGAGGATCCCAAGCTAAGACGTTCGGTTTTGCCATTGGGTTGGAGGTCCGGGAGAATTCGAACAATACCATTTATTCCATCTCGTATTAGTTGGCACATATCCGAAAATAAAACTACTCTTTTACTTAATTCTAATTTAAACAGAAATCTCACTTCAAATTTACATACGTCGCATCGGTGGTAAGGCCACAGTTGTTACCCTTCACCGCCATCAAAGCATATATCCATCTTTGCCCCAGTAGTTGGACCAGGAGTTCTTGATTAGCCAGTAATCTTCTCCTTTGAGTTTTCCGTATCCAACCGTCACCACTGCATGATCCAATCCATCCAAATTGTTCTTGCATTCCGGTTTGAAGTACACTCCATTTGCGTACTAGCTGAACGACTTGTGACCGACATCGATAGCAATCGACAGCCCTCGGAAGCCTATGTTTCGAATGTAAATGTGAACCGAGAAGTGAATTGGGGCCTCCCTTAGCTCAGTCGGTAAAGGCGCAGCTACAAAGCAAGACCATGCTGTAGGTGGCTGGGTTCGATTCCCGGTCCGGTCTAGGAATTTTTCGGGTTGGAAAATTTCTCTACTTCCCTGGGCATAGAAGTATGATTGGACTTGCCACACAATTATACCAATGCAAAAATGGTATAGGCACCGAAAGCTCTCAATTAATAACTGTGGAAGTGCATCTAAAACACTAAGTTGAGAGCACGCAATAAGCTAATATGCGATATGCAATAAGCTTGAAATACGAAGAAGAAGAAGAAGAGAAGTGAATTGCTGTTCTGACTTCCTATATTATATTCAATTAGAGTAGGTTTCTGAAATGCACAGTCAAACTGCACGTACTGTTGTGAACAACTTCAATGACAGCTGTTCAGCAGTGCTCCCACTTTATTTAATGAACAATCCAATGCCTACGAGATTGTAACTTGGATGTGCCCAAGCTGTGCCGAATTTACTTTCGGCACACTGTGCTGAGTGACTTACCCCTTGAGTTATTAAGACATTTCGTCCATCTCGATGAAGATTTTTTTCTAAACACCACTGGCATCCCTGCGTTTACCAGTTCGGTTCTGGATATTCACCTATTGGCAAATCAAAGTTGGCCCCCGTGGAGAAAAGAAGAACTATGAAAGTGTTGATTCCAAAAGTTGGCACGGTGAGGTGTGCAATCTTATTTATTTGAATTAAATCTGGTCATTGCTACGTTAGTAGAAAGCTCGCGGGCTACTCAATAGACATGTACAGTACTGGTTTGCTAACTGGGCTAAAAGCGCAGCCCAGTTAGCGAAATCCACTAGCTTGGCAGGCCCTTTTTTCAGCTCTGTATAAAATTATACCATTTTGTACACGGTAAAAAGTTGTCACATCTAATCCAAATGCTCTTGCACTTGACTCAGTCTGTCATGCGGCACTACGAATTGAAGTGATTTATCATTGATTTTCAAGTGATTCGCGTATTGAAACAAAGTGATTTATCGTTGAAAAAGATGTACTGTGTAACACTTTTGAATCAAAATGATTATCATTTGAATTGGCACCACTGTTTTCATCATTTGAATTTGATTAGTTTTGTTTTTGGAAGCAAATGTCAAAAACGCACATACCAAACATTAATCGCGACGATTACAAGTCAACAACAGATGAATTCAGATCAAGAAAGCGACATTTCTCCATTTCTACCCGAAATAATTTGCATTCTAGAGCGTGAGTATTACAAGATTGTTGCTGTATTCAATAATAGTGTATTATTCAGATAACTTCTATTACAAAACATTGTCAAACTTATCAAATTTACTGCTCAATGTCTCCTCTTGCTTCTACTAAAAGCCTTGTAATGTTGTTCAATATCACTTGGAAACATATGATGCATGTTGTATGGTCATATTCTGAATAACATATAACAAGGCTTGCAGTATGAACAAGGCAATATATTTATTTAAAACCATTTTCAGCAAACATGAAATCCAATGATAAATTAGTTAAACTTGATATATTTTTAATATCAGTATGGTTGACATTTCGAGTTCAAAGCACAGCACATCAACAACGATGTGCAATACAATCTAAAATTACGTGATTTGCTGTTGATTTCATCGTGCTTCGATATGATTTCTTCCGAGGGATTTGATTTGCACATCGAATAGCAATGTTTGGCAAGTAGTGCAAATTCAACACCAAATCACTTTACACAAACATGATGTTTTTTTTTACCGTGTAGCAATTATCTCAAATCTCGCGTAATTCGAAAAAAGGGCCTATCATTGTTGATCGATTTTCTTCATCGATTTTTTCTTTCGCGAATAACCCGACTGCAAACGAATTTCCCATGCAGTTTACGTTGCCGTGGTAAACCAAAGCGAAAGTCGATGAAGAGAATCGATCAACGAGGATAGGCATTTTTCAAATGTTACGGGAGAAATTCCTTAATCGCGTAATACGAAGCATAACTGTACTCATCTTCCCCCCAGGCCCAGACACCGTTTACCTGTTACATGTTCCAACAGGATTCAACCACGTTTCGCATTATGGGTGACACACACTGCATCACATATCTGTAGACGTGTGCGTGATTTCAAATTCAAATCAAATCGCTGCCTGCTTTGCTGCTTTCTTGCACTGAACAGCTCATGCAAGTATAATGGATTACATACCGTTCCTCAACACGGAGCTCTAGTTAGCGACTCCCCCACAACGTCAGCATCGATTTGTAGATCATCGACTGAAGGCTAAAAGCAGCGACCTGAAAACCTGTGTGTTCTGGATTGCCTGCTGCTGCTGCTGCTGTTGCAGATCTCTGAAGAATCATTCAACCGACATCAGATATTCCACCTCATGCTTCCTACGGCATATAGCTCAAGCTCAGGCAATCATTTCCTTTTACAATCTTCTTCTCCTTTTCGCCATGGTCCACAAGTCAGGAAGACCAAAACAAAGTAGCCCAACCGTCTGTGACTCATTCGCCCGTCGTTATTACCTACACAGCAAGCGCAAGAGCACAAACGGCTGTGAACGAGAATCTGACAGATTTTATTTACTTTTCGCGTCCTTCTTCGTCGCCAGATACGGACTTCTTTTCCACGGGGACTCTCTTTCACGTTTCATATAAAAAAAAAATATATCGCGTGTGTTGTGTGTACTGCCGTCGTCGTTCCGTATTGCACCCACACACATACGCAACCGTTCCGTCCGTCGAGCAGACGACGACAACGACCTCCGGCAAGGCTCCATTGTAAAATACCGACGCGATTGTGTCCTCCTGAACTAGTCCTAGATTGGTGCTGCTGTGCTCAACTCAATTTTTCAGTTCAGTTTGTGCCTCTCAGCTGACCAAAGCGGAACGCCGTTCGTATTCAATCTCAGCTGCTGTTAACTGCTATTTCGGTGCTTTCTGTTCTCAATCGGTGTAGTGATTTCGGTGGAAAATTCAGGTCAAACGCGAAGCCCTTTTGCCTTCTTTTCGAAATCTAGCAAATTTTCCTGTGGTACATTTTTTTGTTCAGTTGTAAGTTTTCGTTCGCACCAGCTGGAGTGTTATAATAATTGTTTTCCCGTGCCTCGGAGAGTGTCAAACTAATAGTGCGATCGTTTTGTTTTGTTTTGTCTGAATTGCAGAGTCCTGAAGCCTCCAGGCGGTGGAAGCAGCGATCTTTTCGGAGCTGACGGTGCTGAGCCCCAGACCCCACGCAGCATGAACAAGAACCGAATGCAGTCCAGCATCTTTGCCGCCCCGGAAGGGCAGAAGGCCGGAAATGGTGAGTTATTTGGGGTTCATTTTTCGGTGATGGTTTATTTCAGTTTGGATTTTATTGTTTAGTGATTTAGTTCTCAGAATTTGTTTGTGAGTTGGTTATATTCACTTTAGTTAGATAAGTTCTTGATTATTTATGTGCAGTGCAGATCAACATCAGTTTGAATGTCTAGTTCCAGCGGTGACACAAAATTGGATTATTAGGTATTGATTTATCACAAAAGCTAGTGCTTGGCTGAACTTACCTCGAGTGTTAATTTTTTTCTGGCGAAATCATATTGATCCGGATTTCCGGATTGTATGGTTTTCTGATAAAATCTATATTTGATAATCAAATAACAGTGCCAGTGACGTCCATGGCTAATTTTGTTCTCAAGTTTGTGCTAGTACCTTCTGGATAAATTTTCATTAAATACCCAATAGGTATATAGGATTCGCAAAGAATGGTTCAGTGACATCAGAAATGGAATAAAGCCCTAGTTGAATCAGCAAAGAAGACAGAAATCATGTGTTGCCAAAAATTTGAAGGCACTGTACTGCTTATAATCGCATATCAGTTCCATATGGATATTTATCAATTTTAAGATAATAACGTTATTCAGTATCAATTGGCATATTCTTTCATATTACGTGATAAAACTACGGACTTTAATCATGAAAAATTTGAAAACAACCTCAAGTCAGTTTATCCCATCAAGCAAAGTAACTGAATATCAGTCGCATTCTGAAATTCAATTGGTCAAATTATAGATCAATTAATTATGATTTTTTTTTCAATTTACATTGAAATTGCACTTTTTAACTTCATCTGCCATTTTCTCAAAGCCTACTTTTTTCCATATGAGACTGATATGGGATTATGGGCAGTGGATTTGGCACGATCGGAGTGTTGAGCTTCTGGTAGATAGCAGTGATGATGAAACTCATTCCGCTAGAAAAAATGACGCTGCTGAGTGTTTGACATATAATTAATTAATGATTTCATAATTCCGAAACACATGTTTTCAAACAAGCTGATTTTGACGTGATTGGCCACTAGATATCTATGAGAAAATATAAACTTAATGCAACAAAATAATGGGATCGATGATACCTGTCTATTGAAGGAACCCTGCAGACTCTTCTTAAATGAGCTCTGAAATTACATTATACAGTTATATATATACAGTTATATATATAAACTTCTTCAATTTAAACAAAATCCATAATCATTCAATGTACTTAACGATTCTTCAATATCATTACTTTCTTGTGTAAGTTTTTGGCTATCAATCCTCAAATTCATGCAGAAAGATTAATGTAATTTTGAATGGTTCAATATCGCTGTTACAACAGGCGCGGATTTCGCGATTTTCGCGGATATGTCGCGGATTTGAACTTTCAGTCGTGAAAATCGCGGAAACATTAAATGATGTCGCGAAAATCGCGCTGTCACATAAAATGTGGAATTCATTGTAACCTTTCCGTTCGGGATTATTTTGCTGTCATCAATTTTGTTGTTCATTTGGCTTTCAATTTTTTATCGGTTCAAACCAAACACCCTTCAAATAATCGAGAAATGATCTCAATTCCATAAGTCACAGCGGATTTATACGGAAATTCCCTGAGATCTGTAAAATGTGAGACATTTTCCTTTTTTTCAATATGAACATAGCATTTTTCGTTCTCAAATTATAAATGAATCGTATATATGCGAGCAATTGCCATGTATACAGGATGTTCTAGGTTCTCTAAATCGTCCTGGAGTTCAGTTGATTTGTTCTACTACATCAACCAAGACTGCAATAATGTATGTAGTATCGAAATATGTCCAAACAGATTCAACATGTCCATGTGAATCGTGTCCGACCTTTTTCTATGTATACAAGATGTTATAGGTTCTGAAATCATTCTGGAGATTAGATTATTTTTCTACTAGATCACCCAAGACTAATTCAATATCTGTAGTATCGAAATATGCCCAAACCAATTTGCAGTGTCTATGTGGATCATGCCAACCTATTCCCGTGTATGCCAAATGTTCTAGGATTTCCAAATCGATATTTCGATACTACAGATATTATCCTAGTCTTTGTTGATCTAGTAAAACAAATCATCTGAACTACAGGACGATTTGGAGAACCTAGATCATCTGTTATACGTGGAAATAATTAAACATTAGGGGTATTCACAAAGCGCATCGTAAACGTATAAACCCTCGTAAATGCGTAAACTTCCATAACACTCCAATTGACCCTGCTATTTTTACGATAGTTTATATGTTTACGATGCGCACAGTGAATACCCCTATTGTCGATATAGACACTATGAATCTGTCTGGAAATATTTCGATACTAAAGACATTGTCCCAATCACGGTTGATCTAGTAGATCAAATTATCTGAAATCCTGGACGATTTGAAGAACCTTGAACATTTGGATTGCTCGGAAATAGATCATGCATGATCCACATGGACACTTTGACATTTTTCGATACTACAGACATTTTTGGTTGATCTAGTAGAACAAATCAACTGATGTTCTGGACGATTTGGAAAACCTATAATTTCCGATATACCTATGTATAAGTCGTAATAAGTCGTGCATGATCCAGAAAGTCACATTTATACGATTCGGTTATGATTTGACACTGAAAAGTGCTAGGTTCATATTAGAAATAAAATAAAAAATCATGCAAATGTCTCACCATTGGACAGAACTCAAGGAATATCCGTGTAAATACACAACCGCGACGTGACCAACAAGTGTGACTGATAGTTTCTCGATTAGGGTGTTTGGTTTGAATCGATAAAAAATTGAGAAAACTAGAGCCAAATTAACTACATAAATGCATTATTTTTTTTTTTAAATAATGTTTCATCAAATCTGGGCCGGTATTATTCAATAGAATCTCATAAAGCAAAAGTTTTTTTTTATTATGTTCACTAATTAATCAGAATTTATATTATACATAAATAACTGAAGATGATACAATCAGGGTGGCCAGCAAACCGGGAAAACCGGGAATACCGGGAAATATCCGGGAATTCGAAAAGTAACCGGGAAAAACCCGGGAATTCGGTGAGTGAACCGGGAAAAATAAATTAACCATACCATAGGAACGAACTTTAACAACAGAATTTCAGAATAAACCATTAAAACAGAGTTATCCTTTACCAAATGAATGTCTTGCTCTATTTGCTGCATAATTTTCTTCAGTTTCCCGTCTTATTGTTTTTAGAATTTAATCACTCAGCAATATTGCAAATTGATATTTGTCGTTTCAATTTCAGATGTAAAGTGCTTGGTCCTTAAAAGAAAATATTGAATTTACGGTTTAGCGACTATCCCACCGGTGCCCTTAGATTTTTTCGCACACACACACACATCTCTTACCGATGATATGTGCTTTACCTCTCAGTATGTTCAAATTTTCTCATAGAAAATATTGAAGATGCTGGACTTTGAAAACAAACATTTGTAAAAACCGAAACTGAATTATTTTTTTGCACGGTTTAATTTTTTCGTTGTTCTACATTCTCACGATATGAATTCCAGAATTAACTTGGAATTCTGCTCTGAATTATCTTGAAATTGTTCTGAAATACGCCAGAAAACACCCCGCGTAATAATTACCAGTGAATTCTTCTTGGAATTTCCTTGCAACTCCTTCTAATAATTTAATTGGAATCCTTCTTAAAATACGCCTTTTTAATAGAAACTAAACGATCGATTCAACCTCTGGTGGCAAATAGGAGGACGTTAAAAAGAGTGTTGCGAGCAGAAATGTTTGTCGTGAGACATAGGAAGCGGAACACTTTTTAACTTTTCCTGATAAATTTATTCATCTGAGATGCTCCAAAACTTGATTTACAGTTTAAAAATTTAATTCTGTATCGTTTTTGCAAGAATCCTTCTAGTGTCCAGGAATATTTTTGGTGGGAAAAATGGAAAATTATAAAAGTGCCTTAGTGGCTATTATATTCTGGATTTGTATATGAATAGTTCAAGTGCAAATCAGTTCAGATCTGTGAAGAATCGTAAAATACGGCAGCTACTGATGGAAATTGGCAAGATGTTGAATGAAAAATGCTCTAATTTGCGTTGTGGAAAATCCTCATTCTGATGTAAACAAATGGTTTGGCTGACGTTAAACGGGCCCTTTTCTATTGTTTCCTCTCGAATTCGCTTGGCGCACTCTACATTGGTAGTGCATTAAAAAGACCTATTCTCTTGAGCCTATCCTGACATTTCGATTACTTTGAAAATCTTTTAACTCTATTCAAAACAGCAGATCTCTTTCGAAATTTTTATTTAGAAACCCTTGGGAGTATTCTAAAGAATTACTTTCTAATGATCAGTAATTGTTTTGCAATTAATTTTGTTGGAGTTCTGTGATGAATCTTTCGCACTAGGGTTGAAATTATTGCCAGAACACTCTTAGAACTCTGTTTCTTGTTGAATTCTGATTATAATTCTCCTGGAATACTTCTTAAAATTCATCTGTCATTTTCCTCACGATCCCCATACAAATCTCCTCAATATCACGTAGGAATTTCCGCATAGTTTTGTTTTTCACAACTCCTGTTGAAATCTTTTAAAATTACCTAACAATTTAATTTAGAACATGCATTCTTCTTCACAGAAATCCCTCCAAATACATCTAAAAATTTCTAAGGATTTCATGTCAGAATAAGTCTGGTATTCTGCTCAGAACTTCTCATTCGAAAGCTGTGTGGGAATCTTTCTCTATATTTGTTTGAAATCAACACTTTGAATTCTTTTAAATTGTACTAAAAACTCCAGGGTTTGTCCACTGGATTCTATAGAATGTTCTGTAATTTGTTATAACCATTAAAATGCCCCTTCAAATCTGTGATTTTGATTTTTTCTTTTTTTTTCAAAATCTCACATTTTAATTAATTTTCTACAAATCTTGTATCACGAAGGTTATTATTAATCACAGATTTTGAAATAAAAGTTCTTGTTTCAAACTCTATTCAAATTTAAAGCCCCACGATCTTGG